CTTTGTGTGGCAAGCAGAGTAAGAACAACCATCAAATCCCTCAGGAATGGTCAGTAGATTGCACCATAAGTCACCTACTTCTTCACTCAGCAACTCTCGCATTTGCTTTAAAAATACACACTTTTCAAGGGGATTCCCAGATAACAGGACTAGATGATCTTTAGTTACGATCCTCTCCTCACTTATCCTTGCCCGTGCTGTTATTCTCACAGAGCTCTGCAGTTTGTAGTTCCCTCCTGCTTGCTCACCCTCCCATTTTTCTCCTACTCCTGAACCCTTAGGTGGTGCCCTATGAAGCCTGTGCTTTATTATCAACAAACTCTTCCACAGTTTTTGCCTTTTGTAGAAATATTGCTGTTTACTTCTTTGCTTTAATTAGAATCTGGTTGCCCTTTGAGCATACTGCTTTCTCAGCAGCCCTTTTGAATGGAGAATGTTTATTCTCTCATACTCCTTGCACCTGAGCATTGGTATTATTTTCTTTGGACCCCAAATGCAGCTTTTCAATCATTATTTCTCATTTTTGTAAAAATTTCCATGCTTTCAAGCCTCATGAATCCCACTTATTCCCTAGCCTTTGCTGTCATTTATTTACTGAACACTTCGTTCACTAAAGAACTTAATGCTTACCTCACCATTTTTAACTTTACATCTCAAGTCGAGATATACACTGTCCACCTGGACAACCCATCCAACATTCAGGTCTCACTGCTTCATCTTCTAGCACCCTTTCTCTTCCACCTGACCTGAGGCACCTACTTCTATAATCCTATCTAGAGCACTTAATATCTGTCTTCTCTGAAATGACTAAGATCTCTTATTCTCAGAGAAGGACTCTTGCTCTTACAGCTTGTTTGTTCAATAGCCTAACTTAACAGTTGTTACTTGACTTCAGTGAAACCTCTACTCTCTCTCTATACATCAACACTCTTCCTGTCTTTTCAAAAAACTTGTATTACAGATTATTGCTTCTCTCTCCTATGTCTTCAACCTATCTTTTTTTCCTTCCCTCACTTGTGATTAAACATGCTTAAGAATCTTTTATCTTAAAAAAAAATGCACTTCATATTTCTGGTTATAACTCAGTTTCCTACTTCACAGCTAAATGCCTGAAATAGTTGGGTATTTTCTTTCTCCACTTATTCACTTCCTGTGCACTCCCCTATCCTTCCTAGTCTGCTTTTTGCCTCTACATTTCTACTGAAAGTACTTCTTCTGAAGTCATCAATTACCTCCATTAGCCAAATTAGTCCATATTGCAGCTGACTGACCTTTGGCATCATCACACACAGCTCACTATCTCCTTACTGAAGCCGAGTTTCCTGTAGCCTCTACTGACAGTAAACTCTCCTAAACTGCCTATGTCTTTAGTTGCTCCTTCTCAGGCTCCTTTTCCAGCCTCTCCCCACTATACTCAATCTTCAAAAAGTCATGAACTCTGTAGGACTTGATCTAAAGTTGACTTCTCTATCTCTTTCCTCAGGTAATCTCATTCAATCCCATGGCTTCAAAGATCATTCATGCCAGTGACTCTTAATTTTGTATTTCCAGCTCCACACATCAACACCTTTCTGGATAGTTCTACTTGGACGTCTCTGGCTTCTCAAGTATAGTATTTCTAAATGTACTCCTCTTCCAAATACCTTATATCAGTAACCATACCATTATACACCTGATTTTTCACATCAGAAACCAGAGGCTCATCTAAGAAATCTCCTACTTCACCAATGCCTCCAACATTGTAGCTTACTAATGAGCTTTACTCTAGATGTATCTTAAATATACTTACTTCTCTCCATCTCCACTGCCATCAACCTAATAAAAGGCACCATTACCACTGTTGTAGCCTCCTAAACCGGTCTCTCCAAACTTCCTACTCTTTCTATTCCTGTTAATCTACTCATATTTTCCACACTGCAACAAGAGGGATCTTTTAAAAATCCAAATCCAATCATGATACTTACCTGCTTATAAAATTTAATGACTTTTGGCTTATATGAAAACATAATAGTCCCCACTTATCCTGAGGGGATATGTTCCAAGACCCCCAGTGGGTGCACTGAAACCACAAATAGTACCAAACCAGACTGCCTTCAATTAGAACTAGTTTCTGTTCATGTCTTCTATTCACAAATTTAATGCCTTTTCCATCTTAACTAAGCACTTAGCACCTACTGTGGCCCTAACTTTTGCAGTCTGAGGTGTGACAGTAAAACTTTTTCATTCTTCACAATTTCACGGATAGAAGATGTGTACTTAGCAACCTCAGTATACAATTTTTTTCTTTCCTTATTAAGTAGAGAACATTCACCTTTTCACTTAAAGAAAGCACTTTATGCTTCTCTTTGGTATATCCAAATTGCCGGCATCATTACTCTTGCATTTGGGGCCATTATTAAGTAAAATAAGGATTACTTGGACTCAAGCACTGCGATACCACAACAGTCAATCTGATAACTGATAGCTGTGGAGTGAATGCCGGGCAGGTAGTGTATACAGCATAGATAGCTGAACAAAGGGATTATTCACATCCTGTACTGGATGTAGCAAGATGATGTATTTTGTCATGCTACTCAGAACAGCACGCAATTTAAAACATATGAATTTTGGACCATGCGTAACTGAAACCATGGAAAGTGAAATTGCAAATAAGGGATGACCACTGTAAAATTCCCTAATCTTCAGATGGCCCTTCAACATCAGTCTCCATTAGGTCTCCAGACTCACATGATTCCATTCTCCATCTTGCTATCTACACTGCAAGAACTCAGGTCCACTTGGGCCCTTCTTGTTTCAGGCCTTTCCACATAACTTTCTTTTTTCTGTTTGGGTGCCTTCTCCCCACGTTGGCTAATCTAGTCATCCCTTACTTACCTGCTTAACTGTCATTCCCTGAGAAAAGCCAGGTTTGATTTTCTTTGGTAATGCTTATCACAATTAAAAGACATTAATTTTTTTTTCTTATAAAGTTTTTCTTTTAATCACTAAGCATTAAAAAATCTCACACAACTGGAGATTCTCATAATGGCTTTTAGTCTGAATGCTTCCCACACTTTGCTTAGAAAGAGAACAACAAAAAAAGACTTTTCAGAATATTACTTTTTCAACTGTATGGATGACTTAGAGTAGATACCAAATTCGCAATTTACAAAAAAAAGAAAAAGAATTCATTTTTACAACTGGTAGTATCACTGGATCAACTGGAGGTATCACTACTGAGGTATAACTTCTTCATCTGTTGATGAATTGTGCTCAACTCCCTTTTCATTCCTGATATTAGAAGAATAAATATTGCTTTCTGTTTTAATTTATCAATATACAATATAGTTGATTTTTGTGCCCCTTTATCAATTCCTCCTTTGCCTCCCTCCCTTTCCCCTCTTCCTACCATCGACATCATATCTGTTCACATGTCTTAACAAAATCAAGGAATTGTTGTGATTGTTTTTAATGCTTGTTCTTCCTGTCCCAAATTAAACATCTTTCCTCCACTGCCAAACTGTAAAATCCATGAAAGCAGTAACCAAATCTGTTTTATTCATGAGTGTATATTGCATCTGCAAGGCCTAGCATACTGTGGGGCACACAGAATGTGTCCAATATCTATGTGTGGAATGAATGAATTGATGGATGAATGAATAAATGTTCACTCCAACTTTGACATTCCACTTATCCCAACACACTAGAGAGCAATGTAACTGATATTTTCATGTTTTCCTCAGATAATGGTGGGAAAAAAACAGCAATTAAAAATTCTTTAATTCAACTATTTTTTTTTTTGTCTTTTGTCTTTTTTCCGTGTCCGGCAATGGATCGCAACCCTCAGTGTTGCCCCTGTACCGGACCGGGGACCGGCAACGGGATCGCAAACCTTGGTGTTGATCCCGCGCCTCGCTCAGCCAGTGAGCAGGAACCGGTCTGTATATGGGATCCGAACCCTCGGACGGGAGCGCTGCCGCGCTTCCCAAGCAGCGCACCATCCAGTGCGCCACCGGGCCGGCCCTTTAATTCAACTATTAGACTACAATTTAACTCAACTATAGTCCAATATATAATTCAACTATTTGTCCAATATTTAATTCAACTATTCAACTATAGTTTTCTGGGTGGGAGGGGACCCTTAAAAACTGCCTAACTCCTGGCCATAAATTTCAACCTTTAGTTAATTCTACTCATAAAATATATTCTTTAAAAAAAATGAGAAGAGAGTATCAAAGAACCAAGAGGAGAAGGAATTAATAAAGAAGACTCCATTACTTCTTGTTTAAGAGCCAGCCCCACCATTCTCTAAACTACTCCTTCAGGCCCATATTCACTACTACATTTATATATGGATATGTGCTGTGTCTAAGTTTGGCCGGAAAAATTTAAAAAGCATGTTTAATGAAAACAAGGAACACAAAGTCTAGTAAAGGCTTTTCATTAAATAAGTACCCCTTAGGCAAAAAAATGCAACTACAGATCCTGTTTGGATCTCAAATTATAGCAATTTCCTTAAGATTCTGGGAAAAAAATTAGGAAAATAAAGCCAAATTTCAGTCCGTGCCATTTAAAAGTGCACCATCTCTTTCTGGTGACAGTCTTCACTAACTTCAGTTATTTTTTCCTTCCATTTGGTTGGGCACATCCTTTTTTCCTGATATCCAGGGTTGAGTAAAAAAATGAGGAAAGAGATTTCTTTAAATAAATCTCTAATTTAATCAGAGGTCTATCTATTTGAAGTAGACAGAAACACTTTAGAAGATGATAAGAAACTGGAATTCTAAGATGTTACTTTTTTGTCAAAGTGGGCATGACTACTGCTAACCATGTTTGAGTAGGCATTCTTGTGTTCCTCCCACAATGAAAAAGTAATTGATAAAACTGAGGCTTTCAGGCTGTGTATCCACGGACATTTCACCGTGCTGACCTTTTTCTTATTTTAACTCTCTCACTGGCTAGATACTAATTCCTATTACATTGCTCTAAGTATGCTTCTACATGTTCTTGATCTACTTTACCTTCACAGGGATGTCCTCTTCCTGGCTTGCTTTCTCTGAGGTGAAGACATACGAGATTTCCTTGTGAGATGTGTTCTGGCGGCAGATGGCACACTTAATGGAGCTTCTGTGAGACCCCACACTGTATTGTTCGATGATAATAGCAATGCATTCATTACAGAAACAGTGTCCACAGGTCAGTACTGCCCACTAAAAAGAAAACACATAGAACAAGCCTCAGTGTGAAGCTATCAAAGACGCCTTATGATCTATAAAAACATTAAAAGGAAGAGAGGGAGTCACAATTTCACTTCCTAAATATTTCATGACATTAACCTTTAAGTCATAAAAGCCAAGTTGTGCTTTTAAATTGTATTTTAGTCCGAACAGTGTGAGCTTTCATAGTCTTTAGTTCTGCTCACTCTAATAGTGAGCATAATAGTCAGTCAGTCATTGTTACTTTGTAAGAAGTGGGTGTTCTCATTTCAGTATTTAGGAAAAATGCAAATTACCCCTTCAGCACTCTAACAGGAGATATAATACAGGGACTGGGAATAACATTAACTTGGAGATAATATCATGCTCAATATAGTCTATTTAATTTATTAAACAGCTTTATATTTTTACGTGTTAAAGTACTTATATAGAAAATTAGATGAGCTATTTTCTCAGAATGATTTTATGGACCCAGCACACTTCCACTGCATACTCTGCTAGCTTCAGATTTATTTTAAAAGTGGTTCAGGATATATTTTAAAAACTTCAAACTAACAAAAAGGTATTTTTGAGAAACCCCTTGTCCTATTTAAGGAAAAGTAAAATAATCCTCTGAATCTCTGGTGCACACCATGCAGATTTTTCCTCTCTCTGGCAATGGTGGGTGTAGAAGAGAATTACAATAGTCTAGCTGTCAGTTCTAAAGCTATGGCATCTTATGCAAATTATTTAACCTTTTTCATCTGGCAAAACTGAGTGGTTTTATGAATGACAAAGCTCCTAAATCCTGAGCTATGTTTTTCCTAGGATTTGGATATGCACAGACTTGTAAGAAAAAGTGTGTGATTGTGCCACTGGAGGTACTTTGCAGGATAGACTAATAGACTCCTTGGAAAAGAACTCACACTAAGGGAAGAGAAAATTGAGGTATACACTCTTGATTTCGAAACAATTATTGTGTTCAGATTCCCATACTGGCCAGCCACCACCTCAAAAATAAAATAAAACAGTAAAAAATAAATAAATAAAATAAAATAAAATACTATAATTATTGAGAAGGGGGAAGGGTTATTTGGGGTTTCATTGGCTAATACTATTCATATTGTTCTCTAGATGGTTCTCTGCTCTCAAGGACTTGTGTCAGAGTCCTCAGGAGCTGAGGCTATAACAAAACTAAAGAAATGTTTCACTAGCATTTTTGCATGACACAGAGCAGCACTCTTCTGTATGCCATGCACCTCCAGAACCACTGGGAATGAAAGGGAGGGATGAAAGCCCTAGTAGAGAGGGCTTTTGCAACTCATGGGAGCTCAGAATGGACAAGGTGAACAGAAAGACAGGTCTACCTCTATCTGTAATAAAGAAAAAAAACCAGAGATACCTGGCACCTGAGTATGAGGAGTGACAGGATGACTAAAGTGGCTCAAATAAAAGAACAGACAATGGCAATGCCTCTAGGGCCATCATCCAATATATATGAGTTACCTCTGACAGATTTTAATTTAATAGAACTAAATTAGAAGGGAGGAGGAGAATTGGGAAGGTAAAGGGAAAGGATACAGAGTTCCTACAGATTGTGGGTATGAACAGAGTTTGTTACTATTATTGTTATCCAATACGTTTTTCTAAGTGTAGACCTAGCTACACTAGAATTAAATGAAATAACGTATACAAAAAAAATTTAAAAAACAAAGATGCTTAAGACAAAATGAAATAAAATTTCTCAGACAATCCAGTTGCATGAATCTCATCAAAACTAAAAGCAAAAAGACATTACTCTATGTCATGACCCTTTTCATTTTTATCACATTTTTATCACCTTTTTTATCACTGACTTCTGTCAGAAGTCATCAGTATTGGTACACTTAATATTCTTCTGCTCAGTGTCTAATGTAATATTTATCCTCTTGAGATCTATAACCAAATAGAGTATCTTTTGAAATCTCACTTTTTCCATAAGTCTTGGAAACTAAAGGTACTTTCTTCCCTAATTACTGCTGGTCAGAATATGGAACTCATACATTTACCTTTCTACTCTCATTCAGTTCTATAATACAAAAAACCTGTCAAGAATTTTTTTTACTTGTTTAACAGTAACAGGCTTATCTTTCAGATTCTGAAAAGCAATGAATATTCTGATATTGTATATATTATTATACAAAGCAGAAACTTATGGTTTCATAAATCACAGTTGGTAGGATAAAAATATGAATTTCTTAGAGGAAAACTAATATAGTACTGTCATGTTTATGGACATTTACACAATGATATTCACAAAGAAATATACTTATCTTCTAAAAATCACATCTAAATCCCCCTAGAAGAGATATTATTTGTACTTTAAAGCTTAGGATTAGGAGATAATAATAATACTAAGTAAGTGCTATGTTACTATACCTTTGTAATACCTTGTTAAGTAAATATATGCATATTGTATTAATTTCTGTACAATTACCAAATAACTACAACTATGTTAACCAACAAAGTCAAATTACTTGAACACAATCTTGTGACTGGTAACAATGTTCAAAACTACACATCTTTAATGAAAAAGATGGGATCACTTTAGAAATATTTTTTCATATCACTTAGGAAAAACGCTGCTCAAACATACGTAGCACTAAGCATGTCATCTAACCTCTGGCCCTACTTTTAACATGGAAGTAATACCTGCCTTTCATACAAAGTTGTCATGAGAAAAAAAAAAGAAGACACAAAAGAGAGAGATTATGTATGTAGAAGCCTTTCAAAACTGTGAGGTGTCTTATAAATGCATGTGATGTTTATTATAATTTCACCTGTTTTCCCAGCTGTCGAGCACAGATTGGACAAGGTTCTGGATTAATACCGCCTGATGTTTTATCTTGAGACTATCCAAAAAAGAAGAATACAAAAATGTATTAGTTACATTTTTACATTTAAAACCTAATACATGCTTTACAACTCATTTATAGAAGTAAATGCTGGCAATCACAATTTAAATAATCTAATAATTGAGATGATCTAATAATTTATATATTATCTACTATTATTATTCCTGGAACTTGAAAATAACATTTATTTAAAAAATGAAGAAAAAAATAGAAACAATTTTTATTATAGTTTAATGATCATATTTCCGTTTTGTGATTATAATAGAAACCAAAATTAAAAGCAAAATACAACAGCTAAATTTTCAAAATTTTATTTTAAGTATAGATTTTGTAATAAAGAAATATCAATTATTTAAAAAACATAATTTAGAATTTTGAAATAAAGCTTCATTATAAATTGTCGAGAAAATCTGTACTTATTCTGCATGTCTTCTTGGCATAATACCATAGATATCGGAAGAAGCAGCATTTATTTACATAACATAAACTCCTTATTAATAATGGCTTCTTCTCTGCATCATTTTTCTAATATCATTAAGGAAAATAACTAGAAAGCAGAAATGTTACTGATTTCAGAACTCTCCATGTCTAGAAATTATATCTAAATAAAACAGCTTTTCAAAATCCCCTTAAAATTATTACAAAAACTGGAAGAGTTTCAGAAAGGTCACCAAATGAACATGTTTTAAAAAAACTGAGGAAAACATAAAGGAAAGTAAATTAGACTAGAAGATCACTAAAGTTTTTGTCTGTGGTTTCACTAACCAAATAATTAAACATAAAACAAATTACTTTTTGATTTACAGTTATTTTTAAAAAAAGCTAAATTTTTGCATGTATTCAGCAACTCTAAGAGTTCAAAACAATTCCATTAACTTAAATGAAAGTATGCAGACATTTTAAAAAGTTGAACTGAATGATTCTTTTCCTGTTAATTATTAATTTCTGTTTCAGACAATGTATAATAAGTCATCTAAAAGCATAGTAGCTTAAAACAGACATACATTTTTCATGATTGTACAGGTGATCTGGGTAATTCTGGAATAGGCTTACTTGGCTGGGGCTCAGTGGTCGAGGATGGCCTCATGATCATGTCTGACAGTTGGAAGGCTAGCTAGTCTATGGCGAGGGCTGAGCTGAAGGCTCTGCTCCTCAAGAAAGGTAATCTAGGCTTCTGCACAGTCTCAGAGTTCCAAAGACTAACAAGTTTGGGAGAACTCCAATATGCATGGGACTTTTCAGGTCTCTGCTTGTGTCAAAAGATCAAAAGCAAGTTATCTGACCAAGCTCAGAGTCAGTATGGGACAGAATTGCTAACAGGCATGTATACATGGAGGGGTATTACTGTAGCACTTTGTGAACAATTTACTATAATTTACAGTAAGTCTTCTTTTCTAGTATATTTAAAAAGACAATTGGCACTTTTTCCATGAAGGGCCCGATGGTAAATATTTTAGGCTTTGTGGGCCATATGGTCTGTGTTGCAACTACTCAACTCTGTTATTTCAGAATGTAGACTATATTCCAGTAAAGCTCCACTTACAGAAAGGTAGTAGTCTGGATTTGTCCCATGCATATTAGTTTGAAGATCCCTGATTTAAAGTTATAAATTTCTCTCTAAGCATTCCTTAGCTGTTCTGTCCCATATATTCACTTTCATTCAGCTCAGAATATTTTCTAATTTCCATTGCTACTTCTTTGACCCATGGGTTATTTAGAAGTGTATTGTTAATTTCCAAACATTTGGAGATTTATCTAGTTATTTTTCCATTACTGATTTCTAGTTTAATTCTTCTTTAGTCAGAAAACATACCTTTGCATAACTTTAATCCTTTGAAAATGTGAAGAGTTGCTTTTTTAATCAGCATAAGGTCTATCTTGGTACATATTCCATGTATACCTAAAAAAATGTATCTGCAGTTGTTGGATGTAACTGCTGTATTCTGAGTTGTTGATCTGTGTCAATTAGGTCATGTTTGTTCAGTGTCCAAATGTTTTAGAAAATTCTCAGCCATTATCTCTTCAAGTTGCTCCTGCCCCATTCTACCTCTCTTTTTCTCGTCAACTTCAATTACAAATATTCCAGATATGACTATGTCTCGGATTTCTTTCACTATATTCTGTTGTTTATTTTTCTTTCCATGTTTGTTCAAGTTGAATATTTTGTATAATACTGTGCTTGAGTTCACTAACCCTGTCTTTTTCTGTGCCTGGTCTCCATCCAATGAGTTTTTAATTTCAGACATTGTATTTTTACAGTTCTAAAATGTCCATTAAATTCTACTGTGTAGATTCCAATTCACTTTATCTATGTTGTCCAGCTTTCTTCTAATAAGGTGCTCTGCCAACTGGCTAGCTATAAATTCTTGCAATAAAATGGAATTATATGTATCAACTGACTCATCAATGAATAAGTATCCTATATAATACTTTGATCACAACTCAGAAAACATGTTGTGCATTACATTAAATAATTGAAGTCTAACTTCAATATGATGTCTTCTGATTTAGTAGCTTTCCAAACATATTTCACAGTTTCAAATAATTTAAAAAATATCTATGTATGTAGAAATGAATGAATATGTATATATTATATAATGCAGTCTTCACCCAGAGGTATGTTGTAATACCTCTCCTATTCAAGGCACTGAATTCTAGTCCATTCACATTGTCCTTTACTATATAATGCATGCCTTTCCTATCATCTGTGTAACTTATAAGTTCTATAGATATAATCTTCTTTTGTGATCTGCGTAGCAACTGTAGACATAGCTAGTGTTCTGGCTCATATAACACAAACAAATAAAAGATTAATTTAAAAACCCTGCAGAATTATGGGACTAACAGATTAAATGGAAGAAATCCCTAACTGGCTGATAATAATATAGTATGGGAAAAAAGCATCTTTTAGAAACAATACCTTTTCCAAATTAGTTAGGTAAAGAAGCTGCCCAAGTTTTTTCTGAAGCTGTGATGTAGCAACAGCTTTATCATTTAGTAGTTTTATACGATTTTGTTCTACCTAAAAAAAACACAAAAAACAAAAAAACTTTATTTCCTCTCAGAAAGATGGTTAAATTATATTAAACATGCACAATTCTTCTTCAATAATATAAATGTGTCCTGTCTTAAGAAAACCTATTTATATTTTAAAATGCAAACTTGCAAAATGGATAGTAGGTAATATATTTCAAAAAGACTTTTGCTTTATAGAAGACAAAATTCAGTGTGGAGTTCTTTAAAGAATAAATGTCCTTATAAAAATCGACCCAAGTTCCATTTGCATACAATTTTTCATAATACATCCATGGGATGAAGAAAAATTAAATGATCTGCTGCTCTGGCCTGAGTGATTTACTGAAATCCAGGAAACAATCTTGCTGTCCTTCCCCCTCCTGCCCTCTAACCCAATATATATATAAGACATAAAAATAAATTACAAAGGAAATAATATTTTTAATGTGGAACAGAGAAGACTGACGGAGATGTTTTAATCCTGGGACATAAAGACAGATTTATTAGAGGATAAGCTGTAAATATCTGCTCATCACTAGCAGAAAAAAACTGTATATAAGTTTTTTTGTTTATTTTTGGCATCTGGCTGGTAACAGGGATCAAACCCTGAACCTTGGTGTTATCAATACCGTGTTCTAATCAACTGAGCTAACAAAAGCTAGCCCAAAAAGTTTTTAGTTTTTCTTAAGAAAGATTTTTCTAGTTTGATAAGGTTGAGGTATAGAAAATATGTCTAAAAGTGACTGATAATACCCACAGATTTCAGCACATAGCAGGTGCTTAAAAATAGATGAATGTGCTCTGGAGAGAAACAAAAAAACTGTACTAAAATAGTGGACGCTAAGCATGTATTAGATGTAAATTGCTCATCTTTGACCATTTTTGATCGACAAAATAAGAATAGAGATTAAACACACACTTTATAGATCACTTTCCTCTTCTATGGATTTCTGTGACATCTACTTGCTGTGCCTTTTTCCGTGATTTACTTGATAATTACCTCATGTGGCTCAATGATATGAAGAACGGGGGGATTGGGCTTAGGTTCCTTAGGATGACGCACTCTTAGTCGTTCTGTGGCCATTGCAAGCTCATCCACAGCAGATACACGATTCCGCAGAGCCATCCAATATTCATGAAGCAACTGGAGAAACAGAAAAGACAAAGAAACTGGTAGAGAATATAATTAAAATTGGTTAAAGCCACCAAGATGTGCTTTGAGAAAAAGTCTTTAGTGAGGTTTTAAGACATACATTTTTTCATTAAGTGTCTAAGGTACAAGGAATTCCTTGGGCCATTCATAGGATGAAGTAGTATGACTGAAAAATCTCTCTGATTTACTGCCTCTTCAGATTTTTAGGAACAGAATACCCAAAGATTTCTTGGTGGGACCAAAGGACTTCCCAGATCAGTATTAGGCTAATGCAATCTCCTCTCTGTTGTGTTTTTTAAAAAAATAGTTTTATTATAACATATTTCACATATTCATAATAATATGTGCTGTGGTAACAAGAATACTAAAATGTACAACTGAGTACCAACCACACATTTTTTTTTTTTTTTTTTTTTTTTTTTTTTTTT